CATGCAATGCTTAAATTTGAATATCATTGACGTGAGGTGGTGTATAATGGCCTATATCCGGTGGATAATTTATGGAAATTATAGCTGTTAACAGAAAATCAGATAATTGAATTTTAATTAATTTAAAAAAAATACGTAATTATAGGGAGCATGCCCGAGTTGGTCTTAATTGTTCAAATGAATTATAAAAATAAAATATTATCCCTAGTATTTGATATAATATTAAACGATATTAAAATATTGAAAATTTTCTGAAGATCCTTTCAAAATTCAATCCTACCTTTCAGCAAATCCATTTATTTAGTTTTTTTTTGCATGTGACAATGTTTGCAAAAATATTTTTTTTTATAATGAGCAATTTAAAAACAATCTTGGCAAATGTTTTGCCACTTACATACATTCATACTCTACTTGGCTATAAATTTATACATAACGACATGCTGCGCACTTAGAATACTAATCGTTGTATCATTTTATGCGTCTATTTTATTGTACATTGTTTTGTTTTTTGCCATCTATTTCTCTTATTATTATTTTTTTTTTTTTGAATATGCCGACGTATTTTATTGTCCATATAGAGCAGGGTAGCCGAAGCCAGAATTGAATGTGTTATTGCCGCGCAATGCCGGTAGCCATAATAGAAGACGCTCGTTTTATATTTTTTTGCTCATCTCCCTCATCATTTCAATTGAGTCAGATAAATGAGTGATTTTTTTAAAGAATATTTTTTTGAGTCCCGCTATAGCCATAGATTTTTACAAAAAATATATTTTCCAGCTCAGCTATAGGCGTAGGTTTTTAAAGAATGTTTCTTCAAAGGCCTCAGAAGGCGTGGATTTTTAAAGGAATATTTTAACGGCCAACATAAGGTGTGGATTTAAAAAAAAAAATCATCTAACCAATTGATGATTGGATTTTTTAAAAAAAAAAAAAAAAAATTTCAAGGTTCATCACAGGCGTGGATTTTTAAAAAACATTTTTCAAGGTCCATCACAGGCGTGGATTTAAAAAAAATTTAATTTTTTGAAAAATCAACGCCTGTTGATAATCATGGAAAAAATTATTTTAAACCATTGAGTGATGGAGCAGTATAGTCGGACGCGGCCGACCATACGATACCCTACACAACTACCACGGAACTCTTTGCTGCCTCAAGAGAGCGACCAGAAAAATCGGCAAAAATTAAGTATTTGGTCCATATCATCCCCTAAATATTAACTGATCTTTGCTAAAAACAATAGGGGTCTTCATTGGCCAGAACCCATCCTACATGCAATGCACTTCGTAAAGATTGATCCATAACTGTGACTGACCTGTATCGTGTTTACAAGTTATAATGGACAGACGGACGGACGGACACACACGTCTAGATCGACTCAGCTAGTCGTAAAAAAGGCAAAAACTAATTATTTGGTCCATATCATCCCCTAAATATGAACCGATCTTTGCTAAAAACAATAGGGGTCTTCATTGGCCAGAACCCATCCTACATGCAATAACTGTGACCTGTATAGTGTTTACAAATTATAATGGACAGACGGACGGGCGGACGGACACACACGTCTAGATCGACTCAGCTAGTCGAAATATGACGATCGGAATACTTGAAGGTGGATCTAGGACCAATATTTCGCGGCGTTAAAAACTCTTGGTGCTGCACAAAGATATAATACCCTGACAACATAGTTGTGTAGGGTATAAAAATTCAAGTCTGATAGAGGACTAGAAAAAATAATTTAAAAAAATTCAAGCCTTGCACAGGAATAAAAAAATATTTTTTTTTGAAATCCACGCCTCTGGTAAATGCCTTATACCCTTCACCACACTGTGGTACATGGTATTATGTCTTTGTGCATATGTTTGTAACAGGCAAAAGGAAACGACATAGACACATGGTTCCTTTTGAGAATATGCATAGAATCACTTTCTGAGTCGATTAAAGCATGTCCGTCCGTCCGTCTGTCTTCTGTATGTTAAATTGTAAACAAAGTACAGGTCGAATTTATGTTCCGAATTGGATGAAATTTGGCATAGGTCACTTATTTCGTCCAAGGACGAACCCTATTGAAATTGTGAAAAATCGGGTCAGATTTAGATATAGCTCCCATATATATTTTCGTCCGATTTATTGTGAACGGTCCCTATATGTACTTCGATTTGCACGAAATTTGGCACATCGTAATGATTTAGGTCTAGAATGGTGTGTGTTAAGTTTCGTGAAATTCGGTTCAGATTTAGATATAGCTCCCATATATATTTTCGTTCGATTTAATGTAAATGATGTACCAAAGTCCCTATATATCTTTCGATTTGTACGAAATTTGACACAGCGTACTGAAATAAGCCTAGAATGATGTGTGCTAAGTTCGTGAAAGTCGGTTCAGAGTTAGATATAGCTCCCATATATATTTTTGTCCGAAGTAAATGGTGTACCAAAGTCCCTATATATCTTTCGATTTGCACGAAATTTAGCATAGTGGAATGAAATAGGTCTAGAATAATGTGTTAAGTTTCATGAAAATCGGTTCAAATTTAGATGTAGCTCCCATGTATAGTTTTGTCCGATTTAAGATAATTGGTGCACCAAAGTCCCTATTTATCTTTCCATTTGCACGAAATTTTGTATAGTGTACTGAAACAGGTCTAGTATAATGGGTGTTAAGTTTCTTGAAAATCGGTTCAGATTTAGATATAGTTCCCATATATAGTTTCGTCCGATTTAATGTAAATGGTGTACCAAAGTCCCTATATATCTTTCGATTTGCTCGAAATTTAGCATAGTGTAATGAAATAGGTCTAGAATAATGTGTTAAGTTTCATGAAAATCGGTTCAAATTTAGATATAGCTCCCATGTATAGTTTTGTCCGATTTAAGATAATTGGTGCACCAAAGTCCCTATTTATCTTTCCATTTGCACGAAATTTTGTATAGTGTACTGAAACAGGTCTAGAATAATGGGTGTTAAGTTTCTTGAAAATCGGTTCAGATTTAGATATAGTTCCCATATATAGTTTCGTCCGATTTAATGTAAATGGCTTACCAAAGTCCCTATATATCTTTCGATTTGCACGAAATTTGGCACATCGTAATGATTTAGGTCTAGAATGGTGTGTGTTAAGTTTCGTGAAATTCGGTTCAGATTTACATATAGCTCCCATATATATCTTCGTCCGATTTAAGGTAAATGGTGTACCAAATGCCATATTTATCATTTGCTATTTGCCCGAAATTTTGCATAGTTTAATGAAATAGGTCTAGAATAACGTTTGTTAAGTTTCCTGAAAATCGGTTCAGATTTAGATATAGCTTCCATATATAGTTTCGTCCGATTTTATGTAAATGGTGCACCAAAGTCAATATATATCTTTCGATTTGCACGAAATTTGGCACAGCATACTGAATTGAAGCTAGAATGATGTGTGCTGTGTTTTGTGAAAATCGGTTCAGATTTAGATATAGCTCCAAAATATATTTTCGTCCGATTTAATGTTAATAGTGCAGTAAAGTCCACATATATCTTTAGATTTGCACGAAATTTGGCATAGCGTAATGAATTAAGTCTAGAATGAGTTTCGTGAACATTGGTACCGATTTAGATAAGCTCCCATATATAACTTCGTCCGATTTAAAGTTAATGGTGCACCAAAGACCCAAAGTTAGGCTGATTAACACAGAATTTTGCACAACGTACTGAAGTTGAAATAACCTAGTGTGTGGATATTTTTTTTTAAATTTGTTCTGGCTTGGATAGAGCTCCCATATATATTTTCTCCCATATTTCTTTTAAGTAAATTATGAAAATTATTATATCCTAACCTGTGACAAATTTTGATGAAATCGGCTTCGATTTCGATATAGCTTTTATATATATTTTCGTCCGATTTTAATTAAATTGTGCACCAAAATCCTCATGTTTGTTAGATATTTATTAAAAAAATTAACGGGTGTGATATTTGCTTTAAATTGATTTACATAATTTTGTTCCATTGAAAAAAAAAACAACTCTATATCTGACATCACTGATATTTATTTTTTTTAAATACATTTTTTATTTAGTAAAACAATTATTACACATATAATTTTAATAAAAACATAATATCTTAATTCGTTCAATTATCTATCGAATAATTATCATAATAATTAATTATCACGCTGATTTTTTCAAATTACAAAAAATTAAAATAATTATAGGTATAAAATTACTTTTCATGGGGTTTTCATAGAATTCACTTAAAAAATTATACAATTAAAAAAAATTATTAAAAAAAAACTTTGGTACAAATTCCATTACATATCTAGAATATTTTCACTCTACGCTACTAAGGGATATATATGTATATATATATATATATAATATAAAAAAGCTATTAAACATATTTAATTACATACATGGAATGCTTTTTATTTTTAAAAAATCTGATTTTTTCGTAGAGGTTTTCCCTATGCTTGTTAATTAAAAATACTTGTCAGAGATGGGCTATCAAAGAGCAAGGGCCATCTTCGACTGACTATTAGAAAAAATTTATGGGTTTTTTAGGGAACATTTTTTGCATTACGATTCCGCTGATGATTGTATTTCAACTAAACATATATACATACATAATTTTTATAATATTTATAATTTTTTTATTAAACTAAATAAATACTAATATAAAAATATTTAAAGAATTTGCTACAAGAAAAAAGTTGGCGGGGAAGAAAGCTAAGGAAAAATCCAATGTGCTCAGTAAAAACTTTGTTCGCCATAGCTTAGTTGGGTAGAGGGTCTGTTGTAACTATATGACCTGCATTAACGTTAACTCCTTCTTCGACTCTTCTATTTTTGGGATCATAACTATATCGAAATATTTTTTAAATACTGTAACTGAGCCCCCCTCACCTTTCTGTGACCCACATCAATGTTTTTTTCTTTCCATCTCCCCCGCCATTTATTTTTACCTCTTCAAAATCAATTCTTTTTTCACAAAATTTCCAAAATTACTACTCTCCTTATAATCTCCTATCTAAATAAACGCAATCGAAATGACATTATATAAAAGGCAATTATACGCAATGCTAAAAATATCGATACCAAGAAAAGTATCGCCATTTGATAATTCGCCTCCTGCATATCGACATCTTTGAGAAAGACCTGAGGCCGTGAATAATGACAATACATGGCATTGCACTGTAAACGGGGTCGATCATAACCGAATATCGAAAGGACCGAACCTTCAAAACTATATTTTAGAAATGAGGTTTTAAACAACCATTTAAGGGTTTCGGGTACATGTTTTTCCTGTACAAAGAAACCGGAGAAGGTTAGGAAGGGGCAAATGAAGAAGGGACCCAATATGGCAGCCAGCTAGAAAAGTTAAGAAAACAACAACAAAGTCAATGAGAATTATTTCCTTTGAAAGATATGTCATTACACTTACCTTTATACTCAATGAGGCACCCACAGCCAAGCCAATACTCTGGCCCACCAATGCCGTTAAAAAGACCATTACACAAAATAATACCACTCGAAAGAGGTCAGCCGGTTGATCGGTTAGCCAATATGTTATGACTATATAGACCGTGGTACACACCATTTGTATGGGTATATCGGCAAGGGTTATTGCCACATAATAGGCCCTAAGGGAATACCAACGATTGAAATGTTCTCGTGACACAATGGGGAATTCCAGGGGGACTGTGGGGGAGAGAGAGAAGAAGAAAATTAAAAAAAAGTTATAATAGTAAAAAATATTTTTTTTTAAATTCAGACCTATAGGGAACTCGAAAAAACATTTTGTCAGAAGAATAAAAATATTTTTTTCTGGGTTCGCCAAAGTAGATTTTTTAAAAATATTTTTCAGAGGTACCCTATAGGTGCAAATTTTTTAAAAATATTTTTCAGGGGTCACTAAAACAGGTGTGGATTCATTAAAAACTTTTTTCAATGGTCGCTAAGAGGAGTAGGGGTGGCCGAGGGGAATGATAGATACCAAGCAACGGCTCTGATTGACTTTAACATGGCGAATTCCAGGCTTATCTTGGTTCCTCTTTTATCTCAATTGTGGACACTGATCTCCCATGGTGCCAGCTATTTTCATCACCCGATGAAATAGAGAGCTAATATGTGCCGCGAGTTCACCCATAAGAACTATAAAAAATGGGTTGAGGCGTCGGGTTAGTTTCCCACACTCGGAAAACCGAACCTGCTATGAAAAAGCAAAGAAAAAGAAACCCAAACCTCTAAAGGTTTACGACCCCCGCTAACGTATAAAGGACCACGATCTGCGAATCTGCACTTGGAATGTGCGCGCGTTGTACAGAACAGGTGCAGTGTTCGCTTTGGCGGATGTACTCAGGAAGTACAAAGCCGATATTATTGCCTTACAGGAAATGCGATGGAAAGGGACTGGCGTAAGTAAATCAGATGATTACGCCCTGTATTATAGCTGCCATGAAACAAGACGTACATTTGCCCGCGGATTTAGGGTAAACAGGAGAATAAAAGTCCTCGTCTCCAAATTCACTCCAGTAGATGAGCGAATTACTAAAATCCGCATAAAAGCGAAGTTCTTCTACATCAGTCTTATTTGCGCCCATGCTCCGACCGAAGATAAAGATGAACAGACCAAAGAAATATTTTACGAGCGCCTAGACACAGCATATGATCGTTGCCCTGGCCATGACATGAAAATTCTGCTAGGAGATTTTAATAGCAAAAATCGGAAGGGAAAATATCTTTGGCCCCACCGTCGGAAAATTCAACCTCCATGAAGAAACGGCATGAAACGGCATGAGGTTGATTGACTGCGCGGCCGCAAAAACATCCTAGTTAGCAGCACCAGATTCAAGTATCTCGATATACACAAGGCCACCTGGATTTCTCCTGATCACGCAACGAGAAATCAAATTGATCATGTTGTGATAGACGGAAGACATTCATCCAGTGTTTTAGACGTCCGATCGAAGATAAAGATGGACAGACCAAAGACATATTTTACGAGCGCCTAGAAACAGCATGACATTCAAATTCTGCTAGGATATTTTAATGCAAAAAATTCGGAAGGGAAAATATCTTTTGCCCCACCGTCGGAAAATTCAGCCTCCATGAAGAAACATCAGACAACGGCATGAGGTTGATTGACTTCGCGGTAGTTAGCAGCACCAGATTCAAGCATTTCGATATACACAAGGCCACCTGGATTTCCCTTGATCAAGCAACGAGAAATCAAATTGGCCATGTTGTGATAGACGGAAGGCATTCATCCAGTGTTTTAGACGTCCGATCGATCCGAGGAGCGAATATCAATCAATTCGGACCATTAACTTGTGGCAGCAAAGGTACGCACCCGTTTTAATGTAGCAGCAAAGGTGTGACCACAACACAACACGGAAACTCGACGTCGAAAAGCTGCAAACAGAACAGGTAGCAGAGGCGTACTCCGCTCACCTTACCCACATGCTTGACGAAAGCACTTCTTGTCCCGATATACTATTATCGAAGAAGTGCTTTCGTCAGAAGCACAATGGCAACGAATTGTCCACTCCTTACAAACTGCAGCAAAAGCAACACTGGGGTACCAAAACCCACCATCAGGAAATCCATGGTACGATCAGGAGGGTCGTAATGCTACTGAAACCAGGGAAACCATTATCTGGCACATAATGCGATGGAGTATTATCGGGAGAAAAGGACAGAGGAGAAACATCTTTTCAGAAAAAAGAAGAAATAACAAGAAAAACGTGAGCAAATCGAGATGTACAGGAGTCAGAATGAAGTCCGAAAATTCTACCAACGGTTAAAACACCAAACCGAAGGCTTTGGATCTGGAAGGAGCACTTTGAAAAACTTCTGATA